AATATTACCGGTCTTGTGGATAACAGATTTATGGAAGAATGAAGTGAGAGGAGATTGACTGATAGCAGCCGTATCTCATCGTGTAGCAGAATTTTTCTTCTTCTTCTTCTTCTTCTTCTTCTTCTTCTTCTTCTTCTTCTTCTTCTTCTTCTTCCTCTTCTTCTTCTTCTCTCCTCCTCTCTCTCTCTCTCTCTCTTTCCCACGCTACGCCTCTCTCTCTGTTCCCCATCTTGATAACTGGTGTAGAGTCTTGCTTTGCAAGTGAAGTTGGCAAGGATTAAAATCAGTCTTGAATTGGGAGTTTCCTTTTCTTCTTATTATTCTCTTTCTTGTTGGTTTCTATTATTTTCTGCACGCAGCATATTCTTGTTTGGGTGGAATTCCACCGACACTTCAGATTTCCTTTTCTTTTTCTTTTTCTTTTCTTTTTTTTTCAAGAACCATCTCAGAAAATTGTTAAGCTTTTTATATTTTACAGTGAAAATTTATTTGGAAACATATCTTTCTATTGCTTTGTTTAATTTTGAATTAATTCAAAGATTAATATTGACATGTTGTATCCACTGCTTCATGAAATTAAACTAACCTATCTAATAATTTTCCCCATTTCCTTTACAGTTTGATGCATTAATATTTTTTGAAATTTAATTTACATATTGTATGCATTTTATAAAAAGGAATAGTATATATGTATCTTATAAATATTCAATAATCATTTATATATTTTTTCTTATCAAACTTACTTCTTATTTATATTTACTAAAACGTTAAAATAAAAATATTTTTAGTTATAATTACATATAAAATTTTGAAAGTATTTTGTTTAGTTTTTATCATTTGCATTTAAAATCAATTAGAAGTATGCTTGATAAGAGATCATATTGTATATAATTTACATTTCTGCACATCCATATTTGATAAATATAGTTGATTATATTATTATATGACCATTGATGGATTTAGTTATATGAATAAATGTGATAAAAAATTATTTTGATTTATATTACATCGTTAGTGAATCAAATTATTTAGAAATATTATTTAATAAAGATAAAAAAATATTGAATTCATAAAGATTAACATACAATTATAAAGTAAAATATATGATTCAAGTGGGAGATGAACCGACTTATTTTTTAATTATATATTTAAGTAATTATTTATTTTTGAACATGTTAAAAATAATTTATACAATTTAAAAAATTTATTAAACTTGATAAAAATTCATTATTTCAATCAAATAGACTAAAACATGCATATAAAATCTTAAATTACGAAACTAATAGATTCAAACTAATCTCAAAAATAAAATAAAGTTAGTCATTTAATCCCGAAATAGGCCAAAATTTTATTTTTTTAAAAAAAATTGCTAATTAAAATATTTCTAGAAATTAATAAATTTAGGTTTTGAATTTTTTTTTTAATTCAGTCTAACTTAAATATAAAATGTAAATGGACTGAATATTTTTTGTTCTTATTATTAATGTACCAAGGACTTGACTAAAAATAATTTTAATTTAATTTATTTATTACTTCAAGATATATCATTCTTTAAAAAAAAATAAAATATAATTATAATTATAATCATTTCATAAAGACTGGTAAAAGGTATGAATCCGTTTTCTAATTCCCTTTTTTTAAAAAACTAATTATATCCTAAATTTTTATAATTAAATATTTAATATGTTTTCTATACATAAATAATGTATGCAATATACCTTGTATACATAAATAATTACGTAATCATTGCCAATTAGTGGTGGTGACACGTGTACATTTTTTTAATGGGACCTCTAATTTATTGAAATAATATTAACTAAAATTTGGTTAATGTAAAAACAGGATTAAAGTTATTAAAATAATTTATAGAAATAAGACTCCTCTTATTATTTCATTATTTAATTAACTAATTAATTTTATTTTATTAACTAAGTAAATAATAATCACATAATCAATTAAATAATATTTAATATTTATACGATATTTAAAAAAAAAAAAAACCTTTGACCATAAGCTTGGCCCGGCCGATCCACACACGGTTCTATTCACCTCCAAAAGACACCATATATATATATATATATGTATACATATTGAAGAGCAAAAGACACCATATATATATATATATATATATTATATATATTGAAGAGCAAAAGACATAATATGTGTATGTACATACATGTACTATAGGGTATAGGAAAAGTTAGGAAGCTCTAAAAAAGAAAAAAAAAAAAAAATCCCAATACTCAGGCATCTCTCGAGCACATCACATTCTTTTTCTTATAAATTTCAAAAGAAAAAGGTGAAATTAAAAATGAAATCTTTTTTTTTTTTTTCTAAGATTAATAAAAACCTATTTGTTAATAATTTATTAAAGTAAATCCAAATTAATCATTAATTAACGATTAATTAATTACTCATCATTGAACATCTCGTCTCCCTCTAACTCTCTCCACTGTTTCCGGTTCCTTCTTCACCTACCCTCCCTCATTCGCACTTATCTATCTCCTTCAACCCGTAGATGCCCACCTTTGTATCTATACAGTCAACAACTTGTGGAGGTAAATTAAAAAAGAAAAAAAGAAAAATTCTTTGTTTTCTTCTTCTTGGAAAGTAAACGGTTTTCTTGTGAGGTGATTGCATTATAGATATTCTGTTGCGTGGAATGGAAGTGATCCAATGGAACTGGTAGAGGATAAGGATCTGGTTTCGGGTTGTTTCCAAGAAAAATCAAAGGTTCAGTTCGCTGTTGGCTTGATGAACTCTTTAAACTATCCTTCAATCTTTTGCTTATTCTTTGTCGGGGATTGCCTTGTTGAGCTAGTGAGTAATTGAATGATATCCACTCATCATATCGTTTATGTTCTTATCTTATTTCGTTTATTAGGGTAGTAGATATACTGATTTCTGTTTATACGCTCTTGAAACTATTGGGGGAGAAGTTTTATTGTTTGTTTCTGGCTTTTTAAATTCCGAATTCTGATTAATGGACCAAGAAATACGTGATAATCTGAATATTACACACAATTCAGATCGTGCTAATGAGAATTCTGTTAGTGAGTTTGTGCTTGAGACCGTGATAGTGGTGAATTCTGAACAAAATGGTGATTTGGGGTTAAGTGAAGGGTTTGTGGAGGGAGGAGATAGAGCAATTGAACGGGAAATGGAAAAGGAGAGAGGAATTGACATAATTGGTCAAGTTGATCGAGGAAGTAGTGCCGGTTCAGATGTTTCTGTTCATGGCCTTGTGCCGGAAACTGTGATAGTGATAAATCATCAGGAGGCAACTTCTATTAACAGAGAAAATGAGGACATGGGAGTGAGAAGTAATGAACTAGGTTCAAGTAAGGCAAAGGTTGACAAGCTCAAAACAAAGCTTGCTGATGTAGTGAAGAATTCTGGTTTGATCGATGTGAAGCCTGGTAGTGGTGGAGGAATAGGGTTTAAGGAGGTGTTTGAGGGAGAGAGGGTTTGCAGGATTTGTCATTTGAATTCTGAGCCATCTTTGAAAGCTCATGATGCTACTACTAGTAATGCTATCGTTCTGGATCTGATACAGATTGGTTGTGGGTGCAAAGATGAGCTTGGTATTGCACATGCTCATTGCGCTGAGGCCTGGTTTAAGCTTAGGGGAAACAGGTAATTCTCTTTTTCACTGAGGATGAATTGCCTGTGTGCTCTCTTCATTAAATTTTCCTTGTTATTCAGTTTGTTTACCTGCTTAGTCATGCAATTCAATCCAGGTTCTGATTTGCCAGGGTTTTCTAAGATACTCTTCTTTTTTTCTTTCGCGTTGGAGAAGAAAACTTATTCGGAATTTCCAAACTATCTTAGAAATTATTTCCTTTCTTATTGTAATTGAAACGAATAATTTGTAACCACAGACTGTCTTTTCCTTTAACTGTGATGTGCTCCAGCTTCTGCCTTCATCTTTGTATAGAAATAAATCCTAACTGGATAGTGAAAACATTTACAAAGTGAAGCAATGAGATCCCCAATCAAGCAATATAGCTTTTGTTTATTGCTGCACCCTTTTTGCCACTATTGATTCCTGAATTCTTAGGGGAAGTAAATTGTGATCCCTGTAAAAATCGCTCTTGTTGATAAAGGTAGTGAAAGAAATCAACTTGATAACAGAACCATAACTTTCTAGCCCAGCATTATTATCAAATGATCCGGATATAACTGAGACGCATGTTTGGAAATCAAGGATCTGATGTAACCCGTAATCAAATGATCTCGTAAACTAAAAAAATTCGTCATCCTTTTCTTTTTACTGCCATCTTTATCATTTTTTTTTCTGGGACAGGTATATTTGCTCAGAAACCACCCTACAGACCACAAACACATAAGTCCATGCATAAATAGTCACTTAATCTATGCTCATGATGTTGCCATCGAACTCTTACTGTGAAATTTGCAATTCACCTATTCATTTTCTTCTATTTATTATTGCAGAATCTGTGAGATTTGTGGTCAGATTGCGAAAAATATTACCGGTATTGTGGATCAGAGATTTATGGAAGAATGGAATGAGAGGAGATTGACTGGTAGCAGCAGTATCTCATCAGATAGGGGAGGAGGATGTTGGCGCAGCCAGCCATTTTGTAACTTCCTGATGACTTGCCTGGTAATAGCTTTGGTACTGCCATGGTTTCTACGAGTAAATATGTTCTAGTACATGGTTTCACAGAAATCAGCGCTCTAGATATTGTTCAAATGCATCATCTGTTTGGCTTCTGCGAAAATTTGGTAGGATTCTGCAGATGCCTTTGTGGCTAATACTCAATATCTGAGGCTCTAGAAGTCAGCCATCTTAACTGCTAGTGCAGAATCTTGCTTTGCTAGTGAAGTTGGCAAGGAACAAAATCAGTCTTGAACTGGGAAAACTCTTTTTCTTCTTCGTTTTTTTTTCTTCTAATCTTTTTAAATTATTCTCTTCTTTCTTTCTATTATTTATATATACAGTGTTCTTCTGCATATAGAATATTCTTGTTTGGGGGGAATTACACCCACATTTCAGATTTTCTTTTCTTTTCTTTACTTTTCTTTGAGAACCATCTCGGAAAATTGTTAAGCTTTTTTACATATTATAGTGAAATTTTATTCGGAAACATATCTTTCTATTGCTTTGTTTAAATTTGAATTGCTTCAAAGATTAATATTGACCTGTTGTATCTCACTGCTTCATGAAATTAAACAAAACCTATCCTAATAATTTTCCCCATTTCCATTACAGTTTGATGCATTAATATTTTTTAAAATTTAATTTACGTGTTGCTGTATCTCTACGTATTTTATTTAAAAAAATAGTATATATATATATATATATATATCTCTCTCTCTTTAGTTATATGTCTGTTGTATATTTGTATCTACATGTGCAATTTCGGATATGTTAGAGAGAGAATAAGAGGTCTGCACAAGGCCAGAAAAGGTCTTGCCACTCCCTGCAAACATACTTACAAGACTAAGCCTCCCGAGTATTTAATTAATACTCGTGGATTTCCTGGATGACCTCTTTACCACCCTCATCATTTTCATCGTCATCCTCGCTAATTGGTTTACTGTGATCAGAATCAGGCGACTCATTTGCAGAGAAGGGATATAAAAAATATTGTATTTTTCGAATTTTTTGATATTTTCCAGTTAAGAGAAACTTACCCTAACCAAACAGTCTTGTATGTTAAAAAAATCAAACAGTAGGGTAAAAAACTTACCCTAACTATTATTCACAAAATATTCAGATCTAATCCTCAAGCTTGAGTTGAGTGAGTTAAACCTCATTTCAGATATTTTTACCAACTAAATTCACCACCATATTGCCAATAAATTTCATTATGCAGGAAATATTCATGTATGTATATACACAAGTAGTTGACATGTGAAGAACAAATTAAAAGAAAAAAAACAAACTTTGCAAATTAGTTATCAACAGAATACAGTCTGTTTATGCTCTTGCCTTTTTGTTTCCAAGCTTATACAGAGACCTGACCGATTCTAAACAGGAGAAGCAAAGTTACGTGACTTCAATATTTCACTGGAAGCCAAATCAATTATCCAACTAACAAACCCTAACCCTAATTGTTTGGAGGTTCAGAATCTTACAAACATTAACGTTGCTAACAAACAAATAGTTCGAAGCAAAACTTCTTTACAATCAAGGCGTATAGATACCTCCTTGTCATCGAGGTCCCGAAAGCTCCATTGCTTCCATGATGAATGATGATTCGTCTAGTACATTGCTGTAATTCCTTGAGAAGCTACAAGCATTCATCTCTGAAATGTTGGTTCCAACTTGCGCTTCCTCCATACCTGACTGCCCAACAAGACTTTCCAGGATTTTCAAAACGTCAGACATCTTTGGCCGGATGTTAGGATGCGACTGAGTACACTGTAAAGCCAACTCAACTGCTTTTTCCAGCTGGGAACCGTCGTAACATCCTTTCAGGTCTCGATCTACAAGCACTTCCAGCCTCCTTTCCTCTTGCAAGGTTCTAACCTGCAGAATTCAACTTAGACTTATAAATGGCTAAATCATCTGTTGATCATGTGGCATACACCAAAATATTCATCACGTATACATGATCATCACGGAATTAACCAGTCCTACATCAAACAATAGGTAATAAAATCAAATACGAAAGACAGGACAAGTTTAAGACTTGAGTTTAAAACAAACAAATTTCAGAAAAAGAAAATGTCCAATTCACTATCTAATTCACATTTAGATCCACATTCTAAATATGAAATGTGGATTTGCAGATACACTCCAACTTTTTTTTGGATTTCATTTGTCCAAAACAAAGCGAAAAAATTACTGACCCATTCAAGAATCATTCCTTTCTGCACCTGACCATTTCCAGCATCTAATGCCTTTTGCCCTGTTATAAGCTCCAGGAGTAATATACCAAATCCAAAGACATCAGTTTTTTCAGAGGACTGTCCAGTTAAGAGATACTCAGGAGCTATGTGTCCTACAGTTCCCCGCACGGCAGTAGTGACATGTGAATCCCTTCTATCTAATAGCTTAGCAAGCCCAAAATCCCCAACAACGGCTTCAAAACTTTCATCAAGTAAAATGTTTGCAGCTTTGACATCCCTGTGTATTATTTTGGGATTGCATTGTTCATGCAAGTATAAAAGTCCACGTGCAGCACCAGTGGCAATACGTATTCGTCTGTTCCAATCCAAAGATGGTTTTTCTCGGCAAGTCTCTGCCAATGAGAATCCAAACGTAAGGACATGGCAAGCTACATTGCAATGAATATATATATATACATATATATATGTATATATATATATTCATTGCAATGTAGTTATATATTTAAATGTTAAAATTCAGAGTGATCCATACAGTTGAACTTCTATGAATTCCAAGGCTTTGCAATGAAGACCATCCAAAGAAAAGACCAGATAAGTAAAGAGAAAACGGAACTTTAACGGAAAAAAGATAAACCTCTCAGGCGGTCAGCAACACTCCCATTTGGCATATAAGGATAGACAAGCAACCTCTCATCAGGGGTCAAACAGAATCCATATAAACGTAACAGGTTACGGTGCAGAGCCAAACCAATCATCTCAACTTCAGTTTGGAATTGCACTTCCCCAGTGTAATTTGGATCTTTCAATCTTTTAACTGCAACAGTTGTTCTATTCGGAAGAAATCCTTTATAAACTATCCCATATCCACCTTGTCCTACAATGTTTCTGGAACTAAAATTTCCCGTGGCAGCTAGTAGTTCACGAAATGAGAACCTCTTCAAGTGACCAATATCAAATTCATAATCTTGCTGCACTGTGAATTCATAACATCAAAAATTGTCATGACATCTATCCTTGGATACAAGCTAGAGAAATGAAAGACAAGTCTAATCAGGAAGTACCATATGATTTAAAGAGGAGATGAGATCTGTACCAATGCACCCAGCAAACAAGAACCAGCACTGAGACCACAAATGTGCAACTGATGCCTATGACAACTGAAATCACCCATTTGTGATGACTGCTAACCTTTACAGATGGACCAGTTACTGCATTTGAATCATCTAGCCTAGTAAGTATTCATGTCATTTAAGTGCACAACAGCAAAAGGGTTAACAGGGTTGCATACATATTACCATTTGCTGGTTTCGCTACACCTCTGCAAAGTTCCTCTGATGAAGAACTGCAAAGAAAACTGTTCCCTGCAATACTATATGAAACATGTACATCTTCAAATATCTAAAATATTGTTCCATAAACATAATGAATAAGCCACATAAGAATCGAGAAATAAAAAAATAAAATTTCCCTGCAAGGCAACAAATGTAACAATTGGGCCAAACAAGTTGACTTCCATGAGCCAAGAGAAGACTGTAGAAAAGAGCCCTCATAACTGCTAGTACTAAACTGCAATGATTTAGCAGAAATATCTTTTATGATATTTAGTATAGAAGAAAAGGCGCCACTTGACTGCAAGAATCATATTAAAAGTTTTAATATATATAATATCAACACTCCCGTTTTTCATTGCCTTTGATAATGGTACAAGGATTGTACTTATAATATCAAAAGTTACCATTCTTACACAAAAAAAAAAAAATTGATGTGAGCATGGACGGTATAAACCATTCCAACCATAATTCAAGCCAAGGAGAGAAAGAAGGCCATGAGTTGGACTTTACAAGGGGCCAAGAGAAAGAGAAAGATATGGCAGCCAAGAGAAAGATATGGGCGGCCAAGAGAAAGACATGGACTGCCAAGAGAAGAAAGCATGCGACAAAGTCCATTCTAAAGAGGAGACATGTGGCCATGAGTGTTCAAGACAATAATCAAGTAATTTGGATGGACTTGGACCACTAGAAAGAGCATTAGGATGCCAAGTGGGCCAATTACAAGAGGAAGAGCCAAAAGACTCAAACAAGCCTTCCAACTCTTTGCTCAAAAACGGATAAGAGAGAAAGAAGGGCTTGGATCAAGCTAGGAAGCCCATAAGGGGATGAAAGCAAGCCCATTCGGCCAAGGGCAAGATGGGACATGCATCTTACTTCAATTAGAGGAAGGAATTGAGGGAAATAGGAAAGAAAATCTTCCCATGCATGAAGATCCTTCCCAACCCAAGAACGATTCTTTCCCAAGTGGGAAGTTTCCTCTTTCTTCTCCATATCATCCTAAAACCTTAAGCAAGATCATCCATTGAAGGGAGAATCGGCAATTACTCGAAAAATCTTCCTACATCAATCTCAATCTTCAAAAAGAGAGAAAACCAGATAATTTCATCATTAAAGACAAGATATCCCACAGATTAGGAAGGATTTGAGGAGATTTGGAGGCAACCTTGCACCTCATGGAGCTGGCCCTAAGTTTCCCTATTCTTCACTCAAAAACCTCAACAATTATGAGAAGACTTCACTGTTTAAGAGGTTTCCTCAAGATGATGACATATCTACACTATTTTGGTTATAATTTTCCTAATTATAATTTTATTTTTATTTTACTTTTGATTTAATTTTCCATATAATTTTTACAATTAAATTAGGAAATTTCTTTCCTCATATTACATATGGCCTACAACTATAAATAAACTTTCAATTTATGGTTGTAATCATCAAGTGTTCGACAATAAAAGTATGAAGTTTTAGCTTTTAACAAGTGAAGTATTCTTCATCATTCTCAATGAGTGAGGAATTAGTTCAACTAATCAAGATAACTCTTGTGATATTTTATCAATTATTAATTTCCTAATTACCTTACTTTCTGTCACCTATTGATAATAGGTTACATAGGGAGGGTTTATTTAAAAAATGAATTTTGGTGCTAATTGAAATTGTGAGTTTTGAATTGCGTTTTTAATCATGGGTTTTGCAAACTTTCTAATTAGGGAAATGATTTTTCGAAGTAAATGACAAATCAAATCAACAAGATTCGGTAAGAATCCTCCTAACTAGTGAGAGGATTTTTCAGAATAAGTAGCAGACCATATCAAAGAGATTTAGTCAACCTGGGTGCCATATTTTCCAAATTGTGAAGTAAATATTTCTAATACAACTACAATTACTCGATCTTCAGCATATATATAATTGTTTAATCAATTATATATGGTTTAATCAATGGCTCACAGTAAAAAAGTTTCATAAATGGATTTGCAAGACAAGCATGTGATATATCTATCCACAATCTTGTAGTAGAATGTTGAGTACTGAAATCCTTTATTACCATAGTTCACTTCATGGGATCTACTTTCCTTTTTATTCTATGAATGTCATTTCCATTTAATGTAGAAATCCCTTCGTTACAGAATTTTCCAAATTCTGTAATGGAAAACCTTTCTATACATACAGTTACAAAGATGGGGATCCTATGGTAAGTTTGGTGTTTATAGTTTTTCCTTGACATGGGGACGTTATAAATCCACACGTATATTATCTTTGTAAGATATACAAAAGTTGACATATTCTCTTCAACAACTATGATAACCTCTTTTTGCCAAGGATCTTACCTGTAATCTTTTGCTAATATTTTTGGTGTAGGACCACTCAGATTATTGAAAGATAAGTCCCTGTAAAATATCGTTAGATGAAAATAACAATCGTTAAAGAATTTAAATCTGGGAACACATTTGATAATGGAATGACACGTACAAGAATGAAAGACCTATGAGATTAGCAACAGCTCTAGGAATCTGTCCACATAAATTGTTTCTGCTGAGCCGCCTGAAAAGCTTGGCATGGTGAGGAATTAGCACAGTCATACAAAGTAAATGAAGGAAAAAAAAAATTAGGGGGATGGCTTAACTAATTATAAATAATACTCACAAGTAACTTAGATGGGTTAGGAAACCCAAAGTACTTGGAATCTCCCCAGAAAGGTGATTGCCTGAAAGGTCCAGGGTTTGAAGGTCCAAGAGCTTTCCAATTTCGGCAGGAATTGGACCAGATAACTGATTATTCTGTAACAACCTGCAAAAATGTACATGAAGACGAACAATTGGTGGATGCAGAAGAAAAGTTTTCTTTCTCCTCTTTCCTTGGAGGGTGCCAGTTTCAAGCAACAACTGTTTAGGCCCCCATAGCTTTTACTTTTACGTTTCAAAAGAACTTTTTTAAAAAAATGAAACATTTCAAAAGCACTTTTGTAACCAAATAAATAAAATAAAAAATGCTTTTGGCAAAATTCAATAAAAGAAAAACATGTGAACACTGCAATAATGGCAAGAAGATTCTGCAAAGTCAAAGCATACCCACATTGTCCTAAGATGACTCAAATTCCCAACACTTGGTGATATTGTCCCTGATAATCCAGTGCTTGCCATTTCACTACACATATCAACCACAATGGCAAAATTAAACGCACATGCGTAAGTAAAGATAGTACCCTGAAGTGGTTTTAAACACAGTCACACCATGACTAACATAAATTCCGCAGATAAAATATTTAAGGACAAATTACTAAAAGTATTTCTGAGACTTAAATATTCAACAAAAAAATTGACTGCATATAGATAACATGCAAAAACATGGCTCATCCTCTTCATATTTTAAATACGATGACAAAAGCTGACTATACATTGTACACTTTAAACTTTTGTTAGTCATCAAGGATCAAAAAAATATATGTAAGCAAAAATAAACTGTGCACTGACCATTTCATCCCTCAAAGTAATATGTATGTTTTTCAGCAAAAATAAATTGTGCACTGACCATTTCATCCCTCAAAGTAATATGTATGTTTTTCTCTTTCCTTCAAACTCCGCCAATGCTCCAATTTTATCACCTCCTCTCCCACCTTCTCTCTCGCAGTCTCACCGCTTTACCACTCTCGTGCTGACACACACAAAGATGCCAGCAACGCAATCCCTCATTTTCCATCTCCATGGGATATTTGTTGTGAAATTCAAGAACTTAAAGCAAAACTCAAGTATCTCCTCCCGAATATACATTGACTCCGTAGTACTCTTTTATCTTGATGCTTTTCAGGAAACCCTAACAAACGGTTGTGAGTTCAACAGAAATAGAATGGTGAGAGATAGCAACTTGTAGACAAGAGATATGGATGTTCGATGATTGACATTGTAAACTAGACACCATTTTTCAGCCATTTTTAGATTTTTTTTTGAAGATTTGTTTTCAGGTTCTCTAATGATTAGACTACATGAATTGGTCAAGGATCAGATGAAAATAGATAAAAAAAGAATTTGGTGGATCTTGAAAGCTGATTCTAATAATCAAATTAAGGTGTATTTGAAGACCTTTCCATAGCAGCAGCATCTTGCCTTTGTTGCTCAAGGTATTAGGGAAATAAAGTTATCTAATGATGAGAGTTACAACGGTTTTGATTAGGATTTCAAGGGTTTTATGACCACTAAGATGATTATTTTTTTGAAAATATGGTGAGTTTGAATTAAATGAAACCACCATACCCAATCCTAGGATATTGTTTCATTCACTACTTACACATTGTTTTGTTTTGTGTCAAACTACAGCATCCATCAGATACAAATTTCTATTAGTAACTATCTAAAATTTTGACATAAGCATAAGAAGATCACAATTGGTTTCATCATTAAGTGGGCCTCTGTTCATTTTAGATCCTTGGACAAACTATTAATTTTTGGATTTTAAACACTCTGATATCAATCCTATTTAAGCATATTCAAATGAAAATTATCAATATACTGAAGCACTTTCTAGACAAAAAAAAATTATCCCATGAATGATTCACCAATTAAAACTGCTAAGGTATTTTTTATAAGGTTAAATCATAACATTCTGAATATTCCCAAGCTTTTCATTAGTTTTTAGTGATTAACAAACGCATAAACTATATTGACTCTGTTCTTCTTATGGAGGATTGTACCCCAATATTAGCTAATGTTTTCATACTTTATCTTTCTTAGAGTTGAGAAGATCTCCTTATAAATTAGAGCCCAAACTCCTTGTAAAGTGAAACATCTTTTGTATGAAACAGTACTTTTCTTGGGCTTGGCAAAACGCTAACAACACCAGTGATACCATATGTGGGATGTTGGTTGTCAATATCCTACCTAAAGAGTCAAAAGTTTCGGTGGGTATACTACATAAATAAGTTCCCTCAATTGAAGGAATGATACTTGTTTGTAAAAGATTCTCCACAAAAGCTTCTTCTTCCCACCTCACTTAAAAGTTCTCCTTATAAAGAAAATTCCTACTCCCAAAGACTGAGGTGCCCATGAACTTAAACGAGAAAATAACCACTTAGCCTTGACATAAGTCTGATCAGATCGAAACTGTTTAAATGAATTAATATATTAAGTGCTAAGGGACCATACAAGATAGTCTTTAGACCATTCAGTTTCGACTAGAGGCACCTGAATCAAAAGTAACCGGCTTCGTCTCTCACCCAAAACCCGAATAGTAATTCAACCTCAAAAAGCAAATGTAATGAAAGAAAAAATAACTTATATATGTTGAATGGAGTAAGAAATGTTGTTTTTCCCTTTTTACCTTGCTTGAAGTTACAAGGGCATCATTATTAACCTCAGCAAAACACTTTCTGGTTCCTCCTTTTTTTAAGAGTACTCCTAAAAGGTTGTAATACTTCAAGTTTGCTAATTGAGACTTTCGAAAACAGAAGTAAACAAGAAGAAAATGTTGATAGAGTATTTTCTATGAGGGAATTTCTCAGCAGCCAATCAAAGCATTAGTGCAATGTGAAGAGAAAACGAAGCGATAATAGATGCATACAGTGAAACAACGAAACCCTCAGCCGAGCAAGCTACCATGTTCCAAGTGCAAGGATCAACAGAGTTTATATCCCAACCATCCATCACATGGCTTTCATCTTTCATTTTACTCTTCATAGACATCAAGGCAGCCACTGATTCAGAACTAAGAAAATCATTAGCCACAGGACTTAACACAATACATTGGACCCAGAAAACAAAATGGGTTCTTTTTGAAAATAAAAAAGACCACCTTCATAGTTAACGCCCTTTGGCGAGAGGAGACTGACGGAAGGAGAAACAAAACGGATCCAGAAAAGCAAAAGGGAAACCAACAATGCACGGTTCATGGAGAACCCAAGTTCCCAATAAACAAAAAACAGATTACAGGAAACTTTTTTGCTTCGGGTATAAAAGATCTTCTGACAGAAAAGTGATACTACAATGGAATTGAATCGACAAATTGATCATTAAAGTTTGGATTTTCAAAATTTTTCTTTAATCTTTTTCCCCATTTTGGATTCTCTTTGGATAAATTAAAATATTTTTTTTTTTAAAAAAAGGACTTTTTCAAAAAACTTAATTATTATTAAGACTAAATTGCAGGTGGGTTTTTGTTTGTATTGGATGAAGAGATGGTTAGACGAAGTGGGTAATCTTCAAGGCTAGAAATTCCTCGAGATTTGTAACAATGACAGATAGTGTCTCCTTGTCGTCTTTGGAAGGGAAGAAGTAAATTCCGTGTGATTTAACTCATTGTTTCAAGTGATGTGATTGTATTTTTAACCGTTGGATTTCCACGATCATTAATGGATGGCTGAGGATGACCCAGAATCTGTTCTTTGATTGAACATAAAGGCTGACAGGACTATAAACTGGGAGAGAGTTCTCTGTCTCTGTGCCTTGTGGCACCAACTTCCATATTGCCAGAACTTGGACTTGTACTAATCTTATTCTTAGAAAGCTAGTCTTTCTTTCCAGGAGAAAACGACAACGTTTCAATTAAAGACCCTGTTCACCAGAACATTTTTAAGGGGGCTCTCTCTAGTTATTCAATGAAGTGAAAAAAAAAGAAAGAAAAGAAAGAACAGGAAAAAGAGGAAGAAGAAGAAGAAGAAGAAGAAGAAGAAGAGGAAAGGAACAGTTTAAAGGAAAAAGGGTAGAGAAAATGGCGGTGGATTACCCAAAGGCTATTTGAGAAACACAATGATAAGCACATGGAATGCTTACATCACTTTATGAGAATTATTTCTTTGTCAAATCATGCGCAAAGTATCATCACAATGTCTCCTAATCATTTCTCTTGACTATTCATGCACAGTATGGTCAAAAAAACACATCAAAAATATTAGTCAAGTTTCCCTGCTATATTATATAATTATGGTAACCCAATCATAAAAAGGAAACACTTACGGGGCTAGATTCCTTTCAGACTGCATACCCATGCATCATTTCTACAATAATGGTCAATTTGCCTTCCCACTTTTAAGCACACCCAGAAAAGAAAAAAATTTCCAGTGAAAGCTCAAGAATACCCTTCTTATCCTACCCAAAACAAAACCAAAAAAAAAAAAAAAACAGATTCCTTCTTCTATGGTTAAAAGCATTTTCCGTTTTAATAACTTCAACCAATTCAAGAACGGATTCTGGTTTACACTTATAACTGCATCTGAAGACGTAGCCAATCTGATAATCACATTCCAAGTAAACTACACAAGCAACATCAGGAGTTGAGAGCAAATCAGCCCCAAAAAAGGCTTTATGTGAAATGCATGGATGATAGACCATTCTTGCAAGATGATGAAACTTGGGGAAGACAGGAAAAAAAAAAAAGAAGAGGACAAATTTACAAAAGAAGATGCTTAAAGGAAGGAAATAACATTACTTTGCACATACAGTAAGTAACAGAAATTGTCTGAAATTCTTGAGTCAGCCACCATCAGGAAACCAGCCACAAAAATTAAAAATAAGAGATGCAAATACACCAACCCCGATAACCAACAAAACCCAACCCCCTATCTTCTGGCCATTCTATTAGTGGCCTTCTTCTTCTTCCTAGCTACAAGTACACTTACTCCTCAATTTCCTCCTCAGCTAGGCTATCTTTTTACTATCAAACATGTACACAAAACAAAAATGCATTTTTGAGAAAATGTAAGGGAGCGAGTTGATACATGAGGTAAATATAAAAGAAACCATCAAGAAATGCAACCATCCAGCTGCCTCCGATTGTGGTAGAGTAAGATGCAGGGCAGGCCTCAATGCACTTTTGATTCAACACAAAGATATTTACCCCCTTTGTGTCACCAATCAACTTAAGGTGTGTATTCGACATAATTTTTGCTGATTTTATGTCCCAGCTCCAACTGGATGAAGGAAATGTAGACCCAATTGTCGTTTTACATGATCTGGTATTAACTTATTAACAAGCTCTGGTGACGCGCCTGATAACTGCAAACAAAACAGTGCAACTGTAAGCATCACTTGATGGGAAAAATTTTTAGCTAAATAAAATAAGAAAGCAAAACTGAAAAACTTCAGAAACATGAAGTAAAACAGTTGCATCGGAAATGTTTAACAGAAAGTAAGAATCCTAACAAAATATAATTCATCATAAAATGAAATCTTCAACATAAGTTAATCAACTTCTCCATCCCTGCTCCCTACACCCCAGTAAAAGCAATAAAACCCCATATGCTCTTCAATCTTCTCTTAACCAAATATCATGGCACCTAAAACAATGCCATTCTGGGTTCATTAAGTACATGCAAATTTAGGTGCCTATGCATATGCAAACGCCACAGAGTTATAATTAGCCAAATCATGCTCAAGTAAGAAAGCAAGAAACTGAGGTCCAGAAAGCTAGAAGCCATACTTCCTGTTTAAAATTGAAGAGAGGTGGTAAAGGGCGACCATTAGGCAGGCGAGCATTAGGTTCCCGAAGTTCATCAAAGAATGGATGCGCACATGCTTCAAGCTGTGATGAAAAGAAGTTAGTTTGACTCAGACAACTGCTGGAAAAATAAACATATTGAGGGAGAACATGTGATCTTTCCGTAAAATTTTATTATGATCAGAAAGCATTATAGATGCGGGCCATTTTAACGGTATAAACACCAAGACATTCAAAAGGGTTTTTTTTTTTTTCGCTGGGGTAGGGAAGATGATCAGACTCACTGCTGTGCAACGAAGACTTGGTGAATATTGCAGCAGCCGTGAAGCAAGATCAATTGCTTCTGGAGGCATTCGTTTGTGAAAAACCTAAATGAAAGAACAATCCATCAGAATCAACCTTGAGATAAATATTTAAGAAGCCTTAAATAAAGAATTAAGTATGCCTAGATATACAAACACGCATAATAAAAAGAAAAAGTAGTTTATAAGAATGCCTGAGAAATGCATGATGATGATGTTCCCCTGCAGCATACAGAGATTCAAGTCCAGATAAAAGCAATATAAATAAGAAGATGCAATTAAAAACCTTGTGCCAAGGGTGGGCTTTTATCTGAGGAAATCTAAAATCAGTATAATTTGGATTCATGCAGCGAATTTCTTCTCGAGTTGGTGTACCCAGAACCTGTAGGAGAAAATAAAATCAAATCCTGAGTAATTAGCCTGCAAGTTGAATGTCTCAGAGTATTATAAGCAAATTGCACCTTAATAATCTCAACAAGTTGGTCCACCGCATTCTCTCCTGGAAACAGTGGCTGTATAGAAAGTAACTCGTAATCATCAGCCAGACATTACAATACAAAATTAAATCTTGCAAACATTGCCAGCAACAGGAAAATCCAAAAGGAAAAATACCAACCTGCCCTAGCAGAAGCTCAGCAAGAACACAACCAGCAGACCAGATATCAATTGAGGTTGTATACTCAGTGGCACCAAATATAAGCTCAGGAGCCCGATAGAAACGTGAACATATATATGAAATGTTAGCTTCACCTTTGACCTGGCCAGCGGAAAAATACTCATCAATACATGAGAGACTCATAAGTGAGAGGCAATCATTTCTTCATGACATAAAGAATTTCTACATTAAGGTACCACATAGCAATATCAGAGATGAAGCCAGGTGGAACACTTAAGACCCGAAAATAGCCCATTGAAATTTGGTGCTAGTATTAGTACTACTATATCAAGAGTCTATAGATCACAATAGCCTGAGTGAGTAACAAAAACAGGCAACTGCATCATACATATCAGAGATATCATAGTAAAG